TAACAATTATAAATCAAAGGCTTTAAGAATTATCTATTATTCATTAGTTAACAATGACAGCATAACCCAGATTACTTGGCTTCTTTTTCTGACACTGGAAAATCAAAGGTGGTGTGGTTTCTCTGAGAACTAACAAATCTGGAATCTCACTGTATGTCAACGTTGTAAGATATGAGTTCTGTTATTAGTTTTCAGTTTACCTTACCGAGTGATAAATATAAAGTTTATCATATTGTGTATCTTTTTCTTTACAAAAGCATTTCACCTTACCTAGGTGAACACAATGAAAACAAAAGGAGTCCATGTTTCCCTTTAAATATATGCACTTTAAAATGATACAAAGAACTCACATGAAGATTTTCCTTACATTGTACATCTTGAAAAATACCTATGTGTAATAGCATTTGTAAATCAGATAGGATGTTCACAAGTATACATATCCTACACATTAAGCCAAGTGCCTAAAACCATTGTCACTGGCTCTAGCCACAGAGCATAAGGAAAAAATTATGTCTACCTCTATTAGTATAAAGAGAAAAGTTCACATCTTAGGTAGAAAGAACGAAAACCTCATTAAGAATTTCATATTTGAAAAGAACTAATCTTAGACTAAAATTTAGTAGTCAGAAATCTTCCAAAAAGAAACTAATTTGTGGTGGTGTGCCCCTTTCTAGAAGAGCAGATGTCCCTCTTTACTTACACAACACAACAGAATTGCTAACTTACAATTAAACCTATTAGAATTCCCTGCAATATAAAAGGGAGACTTAGAAAATGTCATTGGATCAATATAAGTTGGTCCAATGAATATTTGGACCATGAATATTTCTGTGATTAATCACGTGACATCACAAAATGTTTCAAGCAAACAAAAGCTCACAATAAAAATTTTAAAGGTAAGACATTTAACTATAATGACTAATTTTACAGTTTAAAAAAAATCCCAGAAAGTACAATGAGGAAAAAAAAAAAAAACACTATGCAATATTCTACAAGTCTAATCTGTGACTTTGTCTCATGCCCATGTGGTCAAGGCAGTTAGCATTGTGAAGCTATTGAAACTGAGGTTCCCTTGCTGGCTCCAGTCACTCCCCAAACACCAAAGCCACCCTTCCTGGATAGCTTATATATGTGTGCTCAGCTATGTTTTGGTACACAAATATGAGCTTAATTTTTCTGAAATAATTTTAATCTAAATATGTATGATGTAATGGTGGATTTAAACAATTCCTCAAACTGTAGCATTTTAAGATACTTGATTTTACCTTGTTTTTCTAGCCTTAATAGTACCTGGAAGAGGTACATTATGCATTTTTCAGGGAAAGGGGAAGGAAGCCCACCAAACCAGCTAAGCCTGTATTTTCTTGCACATTAAAATCACCGGCCGACTTCATTTGGGGTTCCACTCAGCTTCTGCTGTCCTCCCAGAGCTGGGAAGGTGAGCCATCCCAGGAACCCTGACTGCCATCAATACCCCTTTGTAACTACAACGGTTGAGTGAACTCTTTCCATCTTCAATCACCGACACAGTGTCAACATCTGCTTCCAATAAATTTGTTTCATTTTTTTTTCCCTCAAGTGGAGTAAACCCGCTGCCTGGCCTGAGATTGCAAAGGGGATGCCTCCTCCTCCCTTTCCATGAAAGGGACATTTCTTTTTCACTGTATTGTGCAACTTTTCCTCCTAGGCAAGTAAAAACAAGGGGGGGGGGGTGAAGGAGTAATTCAAAAGGAACGTTCTTAGTCTGGTGCCACAGAAACACAATGTATATCTGACAAAGGCAGAAGAGCTCTGTAGCTTGGTGACACTGCCCTCCTAATTTTGAAGACAGCAATGTATAGGATTGTGGATGAATATGAGTCAGAATCCAGCCACATACACCTAGATGTTTAATTAACTGTCCTTCAGAAACACAACTTTAAAAACCCAGAGTTAATTAAGAAGTTAACATTTTATCTCTTGTTAATAATCTCTGGTTGCAATGACTCCTTACAAAAAAAAAAAAAAAACAGCCATTGGCCAATTCAGCTGCTGAAAAATGAATTTACAACATGAAGGAAAAAGCTATTTAAGAATTCCATTTAATAACCAACCTGCTGAACTGATGGTCATTTGTGGAGGCTGTTGGTTGTTTGAACATCTATACTATAAATTGGGTACATCTGAAAATGTTTTCAAACTTTCACGGCCTCTCCCAGTTAGGTAGTATTATCCCGTTTTTATCATGAGATAAATGAAGTTGCAATTCACACAACAAACCACGGTCAAGTCAGAATTCAGTCAACAACCAAGTTTACACTAAATCATCCTGTTCTTCTACTCTTTTCTCAGTCAAAACAAATAACATTTGTCCTTCCCTTGTCCATTGATAGTGGCACTCCCACTGGCTAATTTAGCAAATACTTCTTCACACACAGAGATACTTTTGTAAGAGACAGAATGCAATTTATAAAACTACAGTCTCTGTCACTTGAAATTACAAATACAACGATCAGTCAGATAGTGAACTTAATGCTACTTACTATCCCATATTCTGTAAGCTTAGAAAGAAACAAATACTACTTGTACAATAAATGATGAGCTCATATAGATATTTTTAGAACAGTTTTTAAATGCCATAAATTTAGCAAATGTGTTCTTCAATATTTTTGCAATCCTCTAATTATCATTTATTTTAGAACAATATTGCTATCTTGGGAAGTTAACATAATGAAGTGAAACATAAGAAGTAAAAAACTCAAAATAATAGCTAACTTTCTTAAGATAATTTAACAGTTTGACTTATAAAATTGTTTAGATTTTAAATTTTAGAGGTTGTTTACAAATTAACAAGAAAAGATCAAATATCCTTTGGGGACCCCAATAGCCAACATTATGCTATTTTCTAGTCTAGATAGTTCATTGCAGAAATAGTAGATTACTATAAATAGTGGATTACTAATAAAGTTTTCCGGTGTCAAGTTTACAGGCATTCAAATATACCGAAAGAGAGCTAAGTTATAAAGCAGACGAAGCTAGAATGGGTCTAATGAAGTCAAAAAGGCAGATGGCACCCACCCTTCATTATAGCAACTTTACTCTGAAGTGAGAATCTAGCTCCAGAGTGTAACAGCACTTTACATGCAAATAAATTCAGATTACTTAATGTGCTATGCTATAACGCTCTTTTTCTGGTTGTCACAGTAATGTCAAAACATTGAGGAATGATGGACAATTAGAGAGACATGTTTCCTTTCCTTTTACTAGATTTTGATCTACTCCTTTGGTGACAATGTGCCATTGATATCCATCCATCCCTGTTCTCAAAGTGAAAGCTCATACTTTTGGTGCATGCAATAGAATTCATTCTTCACTTTCCTTTGTCCTCTAGGCAAATAATTTATTTGCCATAGTTATGAGGATATTAATTTGCCATAGTTTAGAGTGAAATCACTAAACTATCTGCCTTCTCTTTTAACCCAATTTGATAGTAAAGAAGGAAAGATGCAAAGAATTAGCCTTCTTATCTTCTTATTAACTGGGAAAGTCCAATGAAATGAGCTCGGTGAGGCAGAAGTGAGACCTTTCTAAAAGACACTGTAGTGAAAGTTAATATATTCCAAGGAAAGATGCCAGAAAAGCCAACAAGTCTTCCCCCATGGGAGATGTTGAGTGCTTGGTTCTCAAAACTCAGGAGGATTCAAGACAAAATGAGTTTTATAGATTCATTCAACTTTGTGATCCACATATTTGCAAAGATAACAAATAAAACAATTTTTATTTGTTATTACAGTCCAGATAAAAATGCACAGAATTTAAATGAGGCCATATCTGGACATTTAAGTTTATATACTGGTAAGTGCAAGCTACCTTAAACTTAGACAATATCGATAAGAATGTGAAGACTGTGTTAAAGAAAATCAAGATAAAGAAATGATGGAGACTATGGATACAAGAGATGGCATGGGTTTATAATTAAAAATGCAGCAAAGAGAAAAATTAATGGATAAGATATAGCCAAGTGAAATGTTTGGAAATGAGTTGTGAGAATTCTGCTTAATTGTTGTATTGTTATTGTGTAAAATATTCCCACCCATAAAGTACACAATTAAAAACAGAATGTAGCAATTTAGTCAACATTCTGCATTGTGTGTTGAGAGAGATAGAAAAATTTGAGAAACATTATCAAATGAAAGCATCTACACTACACTAATGTCGTATATAACCAATGGCTGGAAGCAACTGAAAGAAAAAATAAGCTCTTTGATTTGCCGGTCATTGCTACCTCCATAGTCCTAATATTGCCTAATCTTCTCTAAAAGTCAATGCCAATTTCACTTTCTTTTTGTCTTGGGGGCCGTGTGGCATTCACTTCTCAAGCTTTCAATCTTTAAACCAGGTTCTATAACTGAAATAAAAACTTAAACCCATTAACTCTTTTATTTTAAACTTAAACTCATTAACTCTCTAATTTTTTGAGAAATTCATTGCACTTGAAAGAAAACTAAGATCGTGGAAAATGCACTAATTAAAACCTTACATAAATATATTACTTTTCAGTTTATAAAGATGAGGGACAGTCAGCTCTTGGTTGTGTCTGTTTCCTTTCCTAGTACTACTCATTTGAATTCACTACAGAAAATAAAATCATTCAAGTTATGACTTTTGAAACTGCCATGAATGAATGGTTATAAACTAAGAAAATTAGTCAATAGTATCCACAGGTATCATGGCTAAATGCAGGGATTTCCCCCCCCCCCCATTTTGAAGTTTCACATAAGCTCTATTCCTAATTCTTAATATTGGATGGACTATAAAAAGAACCACTTATTGTTCACGAACTTAAATTTTCTTGTTAGTCAACCTCAAAGTCAACAAAGTTAGTCCTTGCTCTGTCCTACTGCTGGAGACCATTTCTTTGGAAGAAAATCAAAGTAATGAAATACCCTTTATTTTGTGACCCTTTAAAAGAAAGTGTACCTTTCAAACTGCTCATATATAACTTCAAACAAAGGGAGCTCTCATAGAATTAAGTCTTCACTGCGATTCAATATAAATACAATGCTGCCAGGTTTGTCTGTGGGAATGGCCACTGCTGTAGGAAGAGTAAGTGTGAAACCCTCGGGGTCCCCTCGGAAGCACAGACACAGCGCTTCGGGGACCCTGCAAAGACTAGCGCTTAAACACTCTGGCCAGTGCCTTTCCGAGAGCAAGTTCTTTAAACAAAACCCAACAGCATTACGACGTTAAAAGACAATACATCCCTCAAAAATATCCCCTCCCTGCTATACCAAACTTCCTGTAATTTCTACAAAAATAGACGAAGATAGAGCTACAAAACGGTTTTCCTGAAGGAATGAGCATTTTCATTTGTTGACTCATCTTCTCCTGACAAGTTGGCTGGTTCAAAAAGAAAAAAAAAAAAAAAAAAAAAAGGAAGAAGAAGAAACAAACAAAACCTAACCAAGGTCCTTGTAAAAGGCAAGTAAAATGACACATTGCACAGCTGACAAAGGCTCAGATGAGGGAAAACAAACAAAAAGGCTTTTCTTCCGTGACTAGGACCCACTTTGCTTTCTCCAGAAAAGGTTCATAGCTAAAGTCAATGGCCTTTTATTTCCTCTTCTCCATCCGTTTTCCCATGTTCCATTGCTGGACTGGAAATCCCAATGGCATCATTTCCCGCGGGCCCATGGATTCAGGCTGCCATATGACATACTAACACCATTCTTCAGTACCAAGCTGATTCTTTGCTCTTGTCCTGATGCTGGAGACCTAAAAATGATAAAGATGGAAAATAATGAAGAACAAGTGTACATAGAGCATTTATCAATGTTCTTGACTTGAAAAATCCTGAGTGCAGAAAACAGAACCCAGACAATCATGAGAAATGACCTAAGGACAATCTATTCTCTAAAAAGGCCCAGGAGCACACTACAGGAAAAGAATTCTGTAGTAGAATAATGCTGTTTATACAAGAGAAATCATTGTTATGTTGTTTTTTCCCCCGTGAGTAGGGAGTGCATTATCAGTTCAATAAAATTAGAAAATTGTGCCTTAAATTTGAGAGGAGATGATAAGGAAAGCAAAAAGAGACATGCTCAACTAGAGGAACATTTAAGCAGTGCTTCAGTTAAAATTTACAGCAACCAGGGCAATGAGAGCATGGACGAATATACGCAGTTGTTTTAAAATTTATTTCATTCAGAGTGGCATCACTGAAAATCACAGTGAGTGGCTAAATATGATTAAAATGTCGAGTTTAGTGCTATTGATAAGCTGGTAAGCCACAGTGACAAGTGCAGACATATATTCTATATTTAATTTACTTCTTTTAACGTCTTTTCCCATAATGAATTTAAAGTGGCTCAGAAAAGTCTAAGGAACATTGCAAGCAAATGAGATTAAATATTAAATTTAAAACAGATACATAAACACACCTAAATTCCAAGTGCTAGGTAATATAGGAAGTTTATTTAAAAGGATATATGAAAATATGAATGTGGCTTGGATCTACTACAGTCATTTAACCAATTTTTGATACAGGCAATTAGCAAGGCAGGTACTGTCTTGCTACCACCTGAACTCAAGTTCCATTTTGTAAGGATTTTCCTTGCCTTTTTTGAGGTATAAGTGACACACACACACACACACACACATGTACACACAGAGAATGTAGATATAAATATTTTGATGTAGATATATATTGACATCATTGGTACCGTCACTTACTTATCATGTCTATAGCCTCTTTCCATGACATTTATTTTTATATTTGAGTCCTTAATTTGGAAGCGTGAACACTCTCAATAAACAAATTTTAAGATATTCAGAACCAAATACCAAAATGTGAAGTAAGGCCTCTGAAAATTGGGTAGAAAGACATGACAATTGTTATGTTAGTACCAGGATCGCAAACTATTTTCTTGACCCTTTGTTTAAAAGTGTTATCAATCTTGGCTAATACTAAAAATTGGAAAACAAAAACAAACAACAGCAAAACAATGACCCAGGATAGTTTTACATTTTGATTGTTACTATCACATTTCAGCCATCACATTTCAGTTGTCCATTCAACTATCAAAGATTTTTTTTATTAAATGATAAGATCATTATAAACAATATCATTAGATGCAGATATTAAGACAACATTCAAAGAGGACAGCATAACATGACAGAGAATAAATAAAAGGAACACAAAAAGCACATCAGCTTTTAGGAGCCAGAAGGATCAAGGACTCCAGAAGAAAACCCACAGAATCAGCAAAGTGGGGCTCACAGGGGCTCATGGAGACTGAACCAACAATAGGGAGCCTACCTGGGTCTGACCTGGGCCCTCTGCGTATATGTTACAGTGTATAGCCTGGTCTTCTTGTGTAAGACCTTACTGAAAGTGGGGAAAAAGGGTCTGTCTCTGACTCTTTTGCCTGCTTTTGGAACCCTTTTGCTCCTATTGGGTTGCCTCTTCAAGGCTTAATATGAGGATATGTGCCTAGTTATACTGCAACTTGATATGCCATGTATGGTTGATAACCTTGGGAGACTTGCCTTTTTCTGAAGAAAAATGGAGGAGTAGTGGATCATGGAAAGAAGGGAAGGGTTGGGTACTAGGAGGAGAGAAAAAAGGGGAAATTGCAGTCAAGATGTAAAAATAAATAAATAAATAAATACGTAAGTAAGTAAGTAAGTAAATAAATAAATAAATAAGAGAATAACTACTAAATAAGTCTCTCTCTCTCCCTCTCTTTTTAAAGCACACCAGGCTACAGAGGAAGCCAATGCAGCAAGTCCTGATGAGACCTGATAGGTTGGGGTCAGATGGAAGGGGAGGAGGGCCACCCCTATCAGTGGACTTGGAGAGGGGTATGGGAATAGATTGAGGAGGGGGAGTGGGACTGGGAGAGTTTGAGGGAGGGGCTAAAGCTGAGATACAAAGTGTAATTAATATAAAAATACATAAAAATTAAAATTAAAATTAAAGCACACCAGAACTCCAAGGCACAGTTTACACACCACAAAGTATGAGATTATAGACAAAGGCAACAGTTTCTGGGTGTCAAAAGAATGGTCTAACTGTTATTTTCTAAGGATACTGGGATTTCACTTGTCTTGAACTTTTACTCCAATTTTAATGAAGAGGAAGAGGAGGATAAAATAGGAGAGGGGAAAAGGAGAAGAAATAAAAAGATCAGGGATGTAAAGCGACACTCAAGTTTGCTTTACTCATTTTCAAGTAACTTTGTTGGTAGAATCATTTGCAACTTGACATAGTCTCTGTGCAGTGACTCATAATCTAAGCCACCTTTACTGACAATTTGTTGACTACATAAATATTTTTTTCATTATTAATACTTCTCATCTTTTAGATGACACAGTATTTCCAGAGCTGAAGACTACATCAATCGATAGAATGTCAGCACTGCAACTCATGAATACTGCTGCAATCATCGAGTGTTTTTTTTTTTAACTTTCAAAATAAAGGCAATCTCAAGTTTGATGTGCAAAGATATATGACTCCCTAAGATCATGTGAATGTTTTGCCATAGCCAAGTATGGAATTACTTAAAGATGGACCCCAAAAAGCAGAAATCATTCTCTCATTATAAATGAATCTCTTCAGTGTTTGGCTCCATAGCTCCGTGTCATCCCTTAGTTCAAAAAATCCAATCCATCTGCCAATCCATGTATAACCTCACAGGTATTAAATAACTATTGGATCCTGACTGTTTAGCTGCTTCTTAGCGGAAAGACATAAATCAAGTCTTTGCCTTAATTTCCAGCCATCGATTTCTGTAAATTTCAAAATAAATAGAGCTAGTTTGAAATAGAGCAATGACAAATGACTGTTATGCTGTATCACAAAAACAGGGCTGCCATTTTTCTAGTAAAGACAATTGCTAATGGTGATTCGGGATGCTGAAGAGCAAGCCACTTAGTGTTTGCTCAACATGATGAAGAAAGACGACATTGTTAATTATGATCCTTATATGGTCTACATACATGTGCAATTTTCCAAAATTTCTTTGTCATAATAGACTATCCTCTGCCACAAACTTCGCTCCAAATGGGACTCTTTGCCAATCAAATGTATATGAAAGTAGGTCCTAACACATCCAGGATTTCCACTGGCTGACAGAAATCATCAGGTTTGCTTATATTGTGTTAATAATTTCATTTTGGTTTTATTCTTCAGTCCATAATATATTTTAGTAGAAAAAAATGAAAAGCATAAGAACAAGGCTAGCTAATGTTCTTTGGGTTTAGAGTTTTACATTCACATACAGTACAGGGAACTTTGCATGAAATCACTGACTTAATCTGCTCCATTGTGCTCTAAATAATACACATTTTACTCAATAAGAATGCAGAATTTAGGGGAAGCAATGAAAGAGGCAGGTTCGTAAAGAGGGGTTCTGATGTTAGAGACTATGTCTTAATGACAGCGTATATGTATACCTTAAGTGAACTGTTTTGGTTGTAAGTTATGGCAGGAGGATCCTAGCCACACTTGACTAACCCCCACATAAAACAGTCTCTAACAAAATTAGTTCACAAAAATACTAATCAATTTTCATATTCTTCTTTTACCTGTATAGTGTGTGTGTGTGTGTGTGTGTGTGTGCATGTGTGTGTGCGCGTGCGCATCATATCAAGGCTAAAACCATATCAAGGCTAACAAAATGAGTCTCTTGATAATTTTAACAACTACAAATTAACAAATTTAACAATTACATTAACTTGAAATTTATTTCTAAAATACAATAAAGTCATACTGTAGTCTGTTATGCTTTAGACCATTGCACTGGTGTAATAGGAAATGTCACATCAACTAATGGACTCTTCTATGCTTATTTGTAACATAATTGCTCCAGACTCATCCGCTTCCCTAGTGTGTACGTCTTAAAAACAGAGAACATTTGACTCATGGTGTTTGCTTGCTTATTATAAATCAGAAGTAAACCAGGAAACAAAGATATCACATTATTGACTTCAGAGTTTGAAGGTGACATGCTCTCAGGAAAAGAGCCTAAAAGAAATTAAAAGCTCAGAGATACATTTCCTCACTTCAGTTCCAATACCAACACCACCTGATCGCCACAGAAGAGAGAGAGAAAAAAAAATATCCGTACCCAAGCAAACAAACTTGGAATAATTAGGAATGTGAGAAAAATCTGGTCACATAAGAGGATCACAGTTTGCTTTCATTTCAGAATGT